AAATAGTCTCAAAAAAGCTAAAAAAAAAAGCTAATTGACTTCATAGAGACGAATAATATCAGCTTGATTTAGACATTTCTTTCTAAGCATTGCATATATGATTTGCTTCGCACTATTATCACAATCATTATATCCTCTATTTAATGCAATATGAATATCATATGAATCTTGATAGTTACGTTTATGTGCTTCACGACGTAATATTTGTGACAAATATGTGCAAGCTGCTGCTACTTCATTATTTTCCTAAAATAAAATTTATCACTTAATTGAATAAAAAATGATGAAAAGTTATTTTAGAATGAAATTTTCTTAGAATTAAATTTTAGCAGAATTTTTAGTTTTTCTAATTTTAGAAGAATGAAAAGAAGCCCTATCTGCGTCACATGAATTTTATGCAATAGTATAATATCACGCAACTACGTCACCGTATGTAATGCTACAGTTCTTATTATAATTCTACAAATTAAAGATATATAATCCATAGCTTAATCACTTCACACTTACCTCTTTGATAGTTTCATACAAAAGAACTTGCGTGAACAAATAAATATGCTCGCTATAACAAACTATCTGAGTTAATTTCGCAAAAGCCTTTTCATAAACATCCGTCATTGGGCCTTTTTTATGCTCCGCAAAAAAGTCATCAATTGCAGTAATAACCATACGACAACAAATTTCAAACTATAATAGTTAACTTATCATAATTAATTAAACTGACAAATTAACTATATTATTCGTTAGTTAATTTAAATACCGTCAAATTTGTTAGTGATCTAATATCATTTAAGATATTGAATGGAACTAAAAATCGAATAGATGTTTTCGAAAATTTTCACATTGCATAGATAAAGACAAAATAAGAGGCAATAATTGAAATATTTAAATGAAATGAGTAAGCAATAAGTCAATTTAGCAAATAAAAATACGCCTATACCTGTTGCGCAGCTAAATGAACATTTGTAATTTCATGTTGAAAACCGGCATCTGATATTATTCGAATTGCTTTCGTTAAAAATCTCGATCGAGGATTTTGTTCGATCAGTGTGTAAATTAAATTACGCCATTTACTGCAACAAGATTACCTCTTCTCTTTTAAAGTTTAATAATCTATTTAATAATGAATTCGAAATACCTACTTGACCAATTCACATTGAATTCATGGTCATCAAGCTAACACATATTTAGAATTTTTGATAAATACTTCAAATTTGATTTTTGATAGTTCAATTAGTAAACCTCAAATTTGATTTTTGATAGTTCAATTAGTAAACCTGTGTTTCAGTAATTCTGGTAACCATTTATCAACATCGTCTGCTGCATCAAAATTTCTATCGACAACCTCAGCCACGAAACGTTTTTCAAGCAATGAGCTTAAACTTTTTTCGAAACATTCATGAACAATTCTCCGGTCACCTTCCAAATCAGATAACCAATCACCAAGCAATTCACAGTACTATAACTTATCAGCACGATTAATTAGCTCCATATGATAAAAAAAAAATGTTTTTTCTTCTCGTAAGACATGGAAAGCAGTAGGAAATGAAAAATTTAGGAAGTTAAATCAATTTCATGTATCTGTCAAAGACTGATAATAATAATTCGTGAAGTGACACCGAGGAGAAAGTTATCATTTTAATTATCAGTACTGGAAATTTCAGCTCACGTAATACTGAAGTCTTTTAGTATTTGCTTTTTGAAGTTTACAATTTTACTAATTAATATTTTTAATACTTAATATAATAAAAAAACAAAAATTAAAAAAAAAATTAAGACAGATACCTGGGCAAGACCACGATAACTATTGGTGAGAGAAGTGATTACAACTTCTGGATGACCACCATTTCTTAAAAATCCTTTAATTGTTATATCTATATTTGGTTCCATTATCGAATCAGTTGCTAGAATTGAAATATGCAATGAAATGGATAAATAAATTTAGTTATTAATCAGAAAAAAAGAGAATTTCTTTATCTCATATCTGTCAATGTTTTACAATCATTTGTTATACATATATAAAGGACAGGTATGTTAATGATATAAAAATAATCAAAATATGAAAATCAAAACAAAAAGAAGTGACCTTGAAGAGTTTTCAGATAATCTTCAATTAATAATTCTCTCGTCTTCCGCCCTGAATCGAAACTATATGAAGATTTGTCACTATTATTGCTATTATTATCACCAATATTACTATTACCAGTTTGACTTAAATTACAACTCCTACTGCTATCACTACTATTAGGAATAGTTGCAGAAGTAAACGAAGTGATAATATTCGTTGTATTCTTCTTTCCATCTTCCTCTTTTGCAGTATTTTCTGTAATGAAAAAGAAAGCAAAATAACATTTTAGAAGAATTAATCTAAAATGAACAAAAAAAATTTTTATAAAATTTTTCTACGGTAAAAATTTGTGATAAGAAAGAAGGCTATAAAAGTCAAAATATCATATATGAACTACGCATCTTAAAGTAATTTGTAAATTGCCAAAAACAAAACAAAAATTTGATATATGAAGTTAAGATGAATATTTTGCCTATTTATTTTTGTAAACGAATTATACATAGTTACAGTACTAATGCAATTAGCAAATTAGTTTCTATTTCAGTAAAAGCTATGACTTACACTGAGAAATAATTTAATAAGATGTTACTAGTGATAGAGAGAATCTAAAATTTCCAATTAATATAAAACCTATAAAATTGCTTTAAGAGTTACCGCGAATTCCAGAAGCAAATGTTTGATTTTGATTTTTAATCATCGTCATTGAAATCTCCAAATCATCATCCATTCCCATCGTAAAAAACTGAAAATTTTTTTCCATTGAACATTTTGTAAAAATAGACTGATAAATTAATTTGAAATATTTACTTTCTTTTCTTTTGTTCCTGACAGTAATATATCTATAATGATAATATTCTGTAATTATTAAGCCAAATATCTGTTTATCTCTTAAGGAATAGATCAAGGATAGATTTTGAACTATTGATTGATTATCACTGTATTATAATTCAAGAAAATTATTTCACGATTAACTTACTTTACTCCCTTTATTACTTCAAATTAATCTATAGAATGACAAATAATGCATTTGCACTGGTATCTAATTATATTTTCCCCAAGCTTTTGGTGTCAATTAAAAAGTTTAAATTATCATAATATTCATTTAAATTTCCTATCATAATTCAAACATGCCATACAACTATAATACCACACAATCGAGGAACTTTAAGTCCATTATATCACTATTTCAAAAATTCCAACTATTTCCAATCTTCCCATTTATCCCTTATAGTTTCCTATTTCTTTCTCCATCAATATAATATCATTTGAGAACTGAATACGAAATAAACAAATAACACAAAAGTCTAAATTTCAAATTAGAAACTTACGTAATTATTAATTATATTTACATAAAATGATAAAATTTCTAAGGAAATAAAAGATAAACGCAGCGCAAATCTTTCATTTATCCGCCATATATTTCCTAACCGTTTACTTCTCGAAATAATTATATGCTTAACAAATTGTTATAATAGACTAAGTAAAGAAGTGAGCTAAAAGAATAAACACATGCAATACATGTTATATTCCCACGTATTCTACGTGTCCTTTATTGATTATCTTAAAACTATACGATAAAGACAGAAGCGCAACTATCAAGCAACACTATATCACTCCCATGCTTTTAAATAATGCCGTTGTGGACATAGAGTGAACCATTCTATAAGTAATTTATATATGTGCAAAGGAAAGAGAAGAAACAAAAATTTGCATAAAATGAGGAGAGAAGAGGTTTGGAATTTTCAGAGATTTCTTCACTGTTACAATTGTAATAATACTAATAATAATAATATTAATAATAATAATAATAAAATATTTTAACCTAAATTATTGTCAAATGATTATTGTTTAAAATGATAGTTAATAGTATTAAATTTAGCTTATTACTTATGCTATTTGATAATATTATAAAACATTGAAATAAGCAAAATTTTTGCAATTATTTATTTAATGTAATCTAACGTGAAAATATCTTTATTATTCACTTATATGTTAGCGTTTTATCAAAAAATAATTTTCTTTTTTGGGCTAATTTGTAACATTAAGTGTACACGTATGGTATACGTGTGCAACGTTAAAACATTGTTTCATCTCTAAGTTAAATTGTATGAAAATAATTGTGGAATTGAAATTCTCTAATTAAAAAACACTGTTGATTTATACAATTTTAACAATTTAAAACTTTGGCAGTTGGAAAATATGATAATTTGAAGTGCAACTTTTTTTTGCCTTATGCAGTGATGTTGTGAGAAATTAAGTGAGTAAGTTAGCTAATCTATTAATGATAATAACGTTGATACAATTCTTTGTGTGATTATAAAAATGGTTGAATTTTAGAATTCATTTTAAACGGTAAAAATTTTTTAATTGAAATTTATTTGTCAGTACTGTTAGAAGCTTAACGGTTTGGTATCCGTTAAGCTCTGGTGATAACATTGAAACAGGAAATTGGATGTGAACGCAAGACGGAAAATTTTGACGTACTTTATTTTGATATTATTAAAATAATATTGTTGTTCTGTTTTCATCTTTTTTTCATCATTTTTTTCCAGAAGTATCCTATTTATTTGTTTGTTTCGTTATAATATTGAATTTTTGACTCGATAAAGGCTAAAACACAAAATAGCTCTCTACGAATATGTTATTAATATATTACTTAGACGTGTAACTTTTCTTTCGAAGTTTCATTACAGTTACGGAAAAAGAACATTGTGTTTTTAGCCTTTAGCCTGTTTGACCTGAAATATAAGCGTTTCGAATAACGCATAATGTAACTTTAATAGCGTGATTAAATGATGCAATCAGAAATGTTTCTTTCATTTCGTAATTGAGTCCACGTAAGGAATATTTGATGCTACGTTACGTATACAATTAAACGACCATAAATATTTGATTATCGAAATATTTGAATCAATCAATTTTAGATTCAATAACTATGTCGTCGGATCGTTTTCAACGAAAAGAAATTAGAACTTTAAAACAACGATGGATAATGTAAAGTTATAAAATTCTTTTGTTTTTCCTAATTTCTTTACCCTACTTTACGACATGGAATGTTTTATCAGTCGATCGGGAATGAGATAATCAATATTTCACTTTTCTTCAGGAAGCATAAAGATCGTACAGATGATATACCAAACTGTCCATCTATCGAGAACATTATTGATATGCCAATACCTAATGAAATTCTGTCCGTTTCATTTGATGCTATCTTCAATTTAATTTAGCATTTTATAATTTTACGTAAAAATTTTACGGAATACATAGTATATTATTGAATGAATCAATCACCATTACTTGTAAGACACAATTTTATCATATATAGCATCTCATACTTCAGTATCATCAATGTAATTCATATTCCATTCGAAAAATTTATCAGGAAAGAAAAAAAAAACTGAAACTAACAAACTCTTGCATGATCAAGTTAGATGAATTACAAAATAAAATGGCTAATATACGTTTTCCAGACCGTCTGAGAAAACGGAAACTAGTAACGTCATAACTGATTCGTCAATCTCGAATGCTAAATTACCGAATGGTACAATACAATCGCAAACGACAAGCAGTAATTCTTTCCCATTGTACTTTAAATAAGCAAGTTTATATTATTTGGTGACACAGTGTTGTGTGACATTTCCTCCTGAGACATTTATCCATTGCTAACAGACCATTCATCCTCATGATTATGTATTTCTTATCAGCTTTTGCAGGATAAATCCTTCTTTTTCACTGTATAGTTGACTATTTATGCTAATAACAAGAAAGGAAAATCATTTATTTATTAAAATTATTGAATCTTATTTCCATTTTTTACTGCGCAATAATTTTAAGTAAAGAAAAGTAACATTTTAAGGATAGTTATCGTATATGAAACAGAATATCAAGCATATTGTTGTGATATCCTCAACATTTGACCTTTTGTTCACATTTTGATATCTATTCTTCTTCAAGTCACTCAAATCAGAATGAAATATGAATTATTTAGAGATTATTATTACAAGCTTAATGATACTCATAGTAATATCAATATGTTATATAATGTAATTGGATTTTAGGTTTCTGTAAATTATTTCAGTTCAATATGATGGAAAAAATTTACTAAGGAAGGCTTAATCTTCTTCAAAATTAGTTGACTTACAGATTAGCATAGAAAAACATAATAATGTTATAATCCTATGTTATAATGAAAGAACGAAATCAAACATTTAACACAGATAATACAATTTATATACAATAGGCAGCTTTTCAGAGGATCAGCAGAGCAATTTCCATGAACTTACAATATATTATTCTAAAATTTCTTTGGATATTTATTTTGTCATCTTTTCCAGAATGATTTCTTCCCAAATCCCACATAAAAAAGTAATTGAGCAGATTATGCCATCGCTATTATCCATCCAAATGCTATAACAGAACACTAATAATTTCGAGCGCCTACAAACCTATCGGATGTCTTCTTCCATTCAGATGAGAATTTTCTACAGTGTAAAAGAAGCAACCAGTTTCTCCTTAGGAGAACTCATTTTATTAAGAGTTGCAGCCTTGAACTTACATTTTGAATATCAAAATTACGACACAAACTGTACTCGATCCGCAATTTTGGAATTCTGCGAGCTTTAGATTCCATAATTCAACGATCAAATGTTAGTACTGTTGTGTAGGATAATATTGCTGTTGTTGTTGCTGTTGTCCATATTGCACCTGCTGTTGATTGAATCTAAAGCCATATCAAGAATTACTTGTTCAAATCACCAAAGCTAAATCATACAACAATTCCTCAAATGGGATATGTGAATTCATCTAAAATTTTATTTCATGTATGTAAGAAAGAAATGACTTTTAATTTATATCCTGGTTAAATCTAAACAAATATAAAATTTAGCATCTCTAGATAAAAAAAAAAAAAAAGAAAGCTGGAAAAAAAATTTAAAACTAAACAATAAAGCACTGACCGAGAGTTATAAGTCGCCTGCTCTACCGACTGTCCGTAAGCTATACCACCCCGTTGTTGTTGATGTACAACATATTGGGAACCTCCTTGCACATCTGTAAATATAAAATTTCACATAAAAAACACAATAGAATGAAATTTTTAGGAGAATCTTCCATAGGCTTTTTTTTTTTACAGAAACTTCTACAGAAATGATAAACTGAGAAACAAGAATTATTCGCTTGTGTTGAAAATGAAAAAATCAGTTTTACCCTGTTGCATTTGGATTAGTTGTTACTGCTGCTGCTGCTGCGTATGATCAACCATTTGCATAGAGTTAGCACCCGTTTCAACTTTCATTATCATATTACCATCATATTGTGTCGGTCCTGCGGAGATTTGGTAGGTCAATGCATGAATGATCAGTAACAATAATTAATGATAATATACGATAAACTGTTGTTGAACGTTTGGTAGGATTATGATTAAATTTTCGACTTGTATTACACTGTTAACTGTTTCGCTAATACTGGAGCTAATATTTTTTCAACTTTATCCAATCATTTTTACATCCTAGCAAGCAGTGGAAAATTAACCATTAACATCCTGCATAGATGGCTGAGGTCCACCTGTTACACTTGTTGTGTTGCAGTAGCACCACTAGCAGCTTGCGCTTGTCGCTTTTGCAAGATCATTGAGTGAATCTTCATTTTTGAATCTTCTGTTGTTTGAGTACCCATTGCAATGCTTGAAATTTCCTTATTTAAGTCTAAATGCCTTCTTTTTTTAATATTATTTCATATGCATTTTCATTCCGTGTAGTAGAGCGATGAGACAAACCTTTTACTGCACAAATTTTTTTTGTTAACAATCACCAGCTACCATAGGTTATAATCATTTTGTGAAGGTAAAACAAGTTCATCCAGATCTCTGGCATGACATGTACATGAAGCTTGACTTTAAATATCAAACCCGAAGACCTCTAATTTCCTCGAATTTCACATTGCATTATGAATTTTAGTTTCAAATCGTGGTATGAATGCCTTATGTGAAGAAATATTAATTCGTCATCTGCTTGCCCCGTACCAGATGGAGGCTCTGAAGGCCCAGATGCGAACTGCTGCGGTACACCTGTTTGCTGTGGGCCAGTAGCCCAGGTGCTCGGGTATGTAGGCTGCTGAGGTGACCTCCACCACAGCCGACGGCACTACCCATTTGTTGCTGTTATTGTTGCGCAGCGGCAGCCGCAGCCGCAGCTGCTACAGCTAGCTGATCAACAGTTTGCTGCCGCTGCTGCCGTTGTTTACGAGTAGTAGTACCTTGAGAACGTGTAGAAAGACCTGCTGCTTTGCGACGCCCTCCTGCAAAGAAAAGAAATAAAACGAAATAGCGACGAGTTATTTCATTTTTTTTGATTTTAATTTTTAGGCAATATAAATTTCGAATTTGTAGGATAATAAAACTGATATAATCGGTAATAGCTACCTCTTGCACCTCTTGGCGACACATTGTTTTGACCTCGTCCTGTTAGATCTGGTAGTGCTGGCATCGGACCAGATTGCCCTGGAAAGATCATCGCCGTAGCAGCGGTACTTGATGCACCAGGAGTACTAGATGGAGTAGATCCATCGGGAATAGATGTGCAAGTAGGAGTTGAACTTGACTAGTAACTCATTGCACGGCCTTACACTACAGGACCCAACGTTGTACCTACATCCATGGCTGCACCACCTGAGGACACCGGTACATTCTGGAATGAAAGGAGCCTTACACTGAATGAACTTTTACTGCTTTATCAACATTAAATCACTCACTGAATATTCTAATCACAGAAAGAAGATATGTCAAACACAATCAAAGAAGCTTTACTGAACTATGCAAAATATCTAAATCAACCAAAGATTTTCCACTGCTACCAGTATGTAATTCTAAAGACATACCGTAGAACTAGCAGATGTAGTTGTTGAGGTAGCTGCACTGGAAGAAACATGATGCAGAGTTGCTGGTGTCTCTGATACATCCACCATCGGTGGTGTCTGATACATCCACCATCGGTGGTGTCTAATACATCCACCATCGGTGGTGAAAGATAGATTAGGCAGTCTGTAATAAATTAACATCATTTGATTATAAGATATCACTCTAGATTATTCATATCAGCTAAGTTATAAAGTTAATCTTATTCAACCATGTAGATTGTTCCTATTATTCAGCAAGAAAGAAATTAGAATTAATGATTAATAGGAGAACAGGTAGATTTATGCTAAGAATTAACGAACAGCTCGAACTATTTCCATATCTATAATCTATTTATAAGACTTTTTTGTAGGAAAAATATAATTCACCGATCCATCTCTCACTTCCTCTTCTTCCCTTCCTCCCTTCTGTTGTCTCTCCCTCCTCTTCCTCCTCTCTCTCCTCTTTTCCTCTCTATCCCTCCCTTCTTCTTCTCCTCTCCTTCCCTCCTGTCCTCTCGCTCCCGGCTCTTCTTCTTTTTTTGAAGAGGGTTAAATGAATCCCTTTGTGATAGATTCAATTCCTCCTAATTTTTTAAATTCAATTTCATTTCCGTTAATAAATTTGTTGACCATACTAGCAACTTTTCCCATCCAAAAGGAAAAGATTAGGTGGTGAAAAATGCGATGAATGTAGGTGATCTGGGTAAAATGTTCTGTTAATTCATGAAAAATATTTTGAATTATTTTGTGGCTAACATCTCACAATTAATATTTGTTTGATTTTGCTTATGTGAAGATATCGTGTCTTGTGATGGGTGACTGTTTCTGAAGCTAGAATCTTTGATCAATGAAAACAGGACATCAACAGTAGAAGCAATGCAAACCTCTCTCGATCTTAAAATGGATAGTGTTATTCAGAACGTTCGATCAAAAACTGCCGATAATTAATTTTAAGGTTTGATTTTGTAGTTCTGTTAAATTTATAAAACATCTGGGCTTTTGATAAAAAAATCATTGTTCAGGGAGGAAATTTAAAATGACCTTTTCAAATGCTATAGTGATACGTTGATTTTCAATATCAATTTATATTCTTTATTTTTTTCAAATTTTTCAGAAACAAAAAAAAAAAGATTTTGGTGCCGGAATGTTTTTCACAGCACTGATTTGCCAATTCCATAGTTACTATTTGCACTTTTACAGGTATATCGAAAATGTGTTAATGGTAAAGGTTCTTACCATTGCTGGTAGCTACCGCCATGTTTTAAATCGATTACAAACATCTTTAACAGGTAAAGCAGGAGAATAATGCGTTGGTATTATTTGTTAGATATAAAAAGTTAGCAAGTGTGCGTGGTGAACTAAAATAAATTTAATACAACTTTGTCAGGTTTTGTAATATTTTATTTTGTTCTAAAAACAGTAATGATATGTCAAAGATATCACTGTGACAAAGCAGCAGTCCTGATCTATTGCTTTCGTTCTGTCTTTCCAGGTTAAGCGTTGTATTTCCGTAAATAGGATTCTCTCATTCTCCTACATAAAGTTTATATATTTTTTGGGATAGTATGCGGGTTGAGATCCAGTCGGCCAAAAATGTGTTAATTAACAATATGCTTGCCGTCTAAGTTTGAAACAATTTTCGTTATCTTGGACAAGAATATTTTGAAAGACATTTTTTAATCGAATGTCTCAAAAAATATATTTTATGTATGATTTTTTTACAGTCTGTATAAAAGGTAGGCAAAAATTTATGTGTGATTTTACTTTATTATATACTGAGGAAGTTTGGTGCAGCAGAGAAACCAAATATAGAAGGAAGTCAAGAAAACATCAAATAGAGAATACCCTTTCTAAATTATAATCCCATTTCAGTCTTTGTGGTTTGTACAAACTAAATTTGATAACCTAACTCTCAGACTCCATGAGAAGTGTGCTATGGAAGTTATGGCATGCATATATATATATATAATACGTGTGTAAACCGACATACTGAAATACTCTGCTGGAGAGATGCGACCAAAGCTCATAAAATTTCGAGTTGAGGTTATGACTGTCGCTTTATAGGACCTGTTCGAGTATTAATGAGAAATTGTATCTCTTGAGAAATATATCTCCTAATCATAGATAAGTGAAGAAATTGCTAGGCAAAGACATATACATTTAGGTACAAAATCATGACTCGTAAAAAAGTTCAGTTCTATGCTCGACCAATGCGTGTGTGATTGATTTGTCATCACAAATTTGATGAAATTCCTCATCAAAAAAAAAAAATTTGGCTGCATGGAAGGCGTAATTTCGATATCAAGAATAATCCCTAGAATAGGAGATTTATAAAAATAAATCATTTATTGATCATCAATCCTTCCACTCATTCCAGTTTATCAACTCCCTTCCTTCCTTTTCTGCAGCTTGTATGCTCTAACTCATAACTTAAAAGTAATACAGTAAAGACGAAACAAAATATTTACTTTAAAACGAACACATTTCCCTTCATTTTTTACTGATTTTACGCTATGCTAACATATAAGAAAATTACTTGTAAAATAAAAATATCGTTAATGTAAACTCCTCACTTTGTACTAAGATGAATCAACAAGCAGATATGTTGAAGATTGAAAACGTATTTAACATATATAACCCTGTTATAATTCGAAAAGTGTGCGACTAAAAATATCTCATTTCTCTTTCCTTCTCTGCTGAATATGTGAAGAAATTTCGAAGAAATTTGACAGAGCTGATGTAATTCAAATCTTACAATTTTACTAATTGTTAAAGCATTTTATGCAAACTTCCAGTGATAGCCATATTTTTGTGTACAATTTTTAATAATTTTGTCACAAAAAAAGAAAACTTGCCTTATTTGGTTATTCACTAATAGTAGCAATCACTACTGATTAGATCGAAACCTTGCTAAACTATATATACCCATGTCATGCTGTGCTTATCTAAAATAGTTACCTGTCAGTTCAAATACATGACATCATATACCTTCTATATGTAACTAATAGGAGAAATTCTGATTAGTATTAATTTCTTCGTCAAACTTTCTAATAAACCTGAATTAAGTGAAAACGTTTTTAAGATAAAGAATAATCCCTAGAATAGGAGAATTTGGGTTAACATTTAACATTTCTATTAAGTATGCCGAAAATTTACATTCCCTGAAGATCTGCCACTTCGATGGTAGATCTTCACAAAGTCTGCCACTTCGATTAAAATATTACAATATAATATATCCAACTAACTTCTTTACTTTTTCAGCACTTTTGGATTACATTTGAAGATTTCAAGGTAAAATATTACAAAATTATATGTCTAAGAAAAAACGAAAATGAACAACAACAAGCAATAACAAATTTTCCAAAATTAAAATTTTCACGCAGAAATTTCTAACAAAACACTTTTTTAAGAAATAAGTTTAAAAAATTCCACCATAAAATAATTCTTCACTCGTTCACTTCCTCTTTTTGATTATACAGAGAGATCCTTTTAGTGACACATGCAAAACTAATGCACTACAATACACATCCCTACTTTCCTAGCTTTTCTGGATCTTGTTTTTCGAAGTCCATACTTTCGAAAGCTATGTCAGCTTCCACTTCCATTGCCACCGGTTCTGGTACTCCTTTTTCTTCTTCTGTTTTTGCTTCCTCAGCAGCTTTTGCAGCCGCTTCAGCCGCCAAACGAGCATTAATTGAAGCCTAAAAATAAAGGCTGTTAAAAATCCCAGGGCTAATTAAATTTTGCTGGGAGAGAAATCTGATAGTTGATTCCGCCACTGATTTAAATAGGTGAGAGAAAAAATAAAAAATTAGGATATAGCAGCATTAAAGGAAACAAAAATTTATAAGGTTATTACGAATCTATATGCAAAGCAAAATCTCTTAAATAAATTATATAAATTTAAATTATATTCCTTAAATGCCTGTTAAGATATCAAATCATTTCGAAGTCCAAAAAAAATTCATTAACAATTACTTGACGAGCTTCGAAATAGTCCTTCATATGTTCTTTATAACTTTTTTTCATCTGCTCCATATTACTCATGTAGAATTGGTGGACGAATGTACTCATATGAACCGTATCTTGGATCTGAATTTGTTCTGATGTTGGAGGCTGACCATTCTAAAATTAGAATGGTACTTTATTTAGAAAAAAATCTATCAAAATTTTGACTTAAAATCAATTTAAGTAGTAACGAGAAAAAAAGATATATTACTTTAAAAGAAGGAATAACAAAAAAAGAAAATTTTACCTTTCGACACATTAAGTATGTCTCGTGAGGTATTATCATCAATTTTTGTGGATATTTGCGTAACTGAAATGGGAATATATTCAATATCATAACAATGATTTAAAGAAATAAAGACTAATAATTAGAAGATTAGACAAACTTATAATAAAGCAGTATTTTCATCTTTAAAATATAAAAATACCCGTTCAAATGCAGTTGCAAGCTCAAGGCAATTTTGGAACAAACTGACTCGTCCTAATACATAAAGACCCAAACGTGCTCGAGAAAGAGCTACAATCAAACGACGAACATCCCTGAAAAGGTGCCAGTTTTTGCTTGCTAAAAATGGAAAACATGAAAAAAGCAACTTTTTAATGTGTTTTTTACTCAGGCAATATTAGGACGGATCAAAATCAATAACAAAATAGCTTAATTTGTAATCATACCTTAGATGACCAATATTTCGCGTCCTTACAAGCGAAAGGATAATATAATCATTCTGCTGTCCCTGATATTTGTCAACCGTTGAAATCTGAAAAATGATACAAACGATTATTAAAACTGTTCAATGAAGAGTTATGTAACATGAAAAGCAACGCACTTCAAGATTAAATAAGAAAAGTTCTAAAGCAGTCAAAGAGTTCACTGATCCATATATGTATAACTGAAACTGCATAATTGTATACGGCATAGAATAAATTTAGCATGAGAGAATCATTATACGAAGAAACCATCTGAAAAAAGGTACACTCTGAAGATTGATAACAATAAACCTTGTGTGGTACTCCAATTAACGGATTTTCGGCACATCTTGTCTGTACTACATCACGTAACAGTGATGCTTGGCCATTATAGGTTGTTATAATTGATATCTTTTCTGCGGGGTAACCCAGAATACGCATATAAGTGAAGAGCGCTACAGCATATTCTGCTTCACCAAGATTCTGAAAAAAAAAAATACTTTAAAATGAAGACTTTCCCAAAATAGAATAGAAAACTGCAGAAATAATAAACCTGATAAAAGTACGGGCTCGGCGTAGTTTCACCAATACCATTAAAGTCCGGTACATCGATAAGTTGATAATTGAATGCAAATCCAGAATTTGCACGTTGGAACTCCGGAAGAGCTTCAATATGCGGCAAATTACCCAACTTCTCATATCGCCAGTTATAAAGATCTGCTATTCTGAAAGCTATCGTGTTAAAGTTTTATGCTCGTAATCTTAAAAATTTTGCTAAAAAATATTTTGTTAATACAAAGAATATGTGCCCAAAACATACTCAGATCTGGCACGACCCTGCTGATCAAGTAAGACATGTGGAACACCAAGTCGAACAAATCTCGCAAACAGACTCTGTTCCATGTTAGAATATTTTTGAAAAGCGATGTTTTGAACAACCGGCGGCAGCTGATGATGATCGCCAATCATGATCCACCGCTTTAACCTACTTCTACCATCTTGTGGGTTCTGAAAATCCATAATATTATAGCGATGGTAGCAGGGGAAGATTTAATAAAATAATCTCGCATCTTAAAATATGGAAATGAACAAGGCAATATGAAATATAAAAATACATTTTGTCATTTTCACCTACCTGAAGTAGAAGTGGAATAAATGTTTCGACTTCTAGAATTTGAGCAGCTTCTTCCATTAAAATGGTGTCATATCTAAATCCAAGTTCTACCAAATCTTTCCGTCGTAAAGCCGCATGAGTACAAGTCATAGCAATAATTTTGGCTTCTTTTACCTGAAACAATTGAAAAACTGAAAATCTGGAATTTTGAATGTTGAATTCAGCTTCATCACTATAAAAACTACAAAATGAAAATCCAAAAGTGTGCCTAAAAACATCATCTCAAAACTAACCAAAAGATAATCTGTACGATCCCTCCCTGAACGTAACAATTCGAAAGACCTAAATTCTTCCAGTTGGGTGAAAATACCACGAATATACCGCCAGCAGCCTTGAGCAATTTCCCAGTCTTCGTCAAAAGAAACACCCTGAAATTTTTATGTGAAAAAGAAGGCAATATGTGGCAATTAAGCAGAGAAATACATGAATGGAAAGGATGAAATTATAAACTGATATGAGATATTATTCCAATACATTTTATCCATCATGTGAAATATATTAGTAAGAATCTTATTAAAAGAAAAAAAAACTGTTGGTAAAAACTTCTCAGTAGGAATGAAAAGCATTTTTGACCTTAAACAACGGTGGTGGGACATCGGCAAAGTATTTCGTAAAGGGGAAGTGTTCGGCAACTGCTTTCGCACTCGGATTTGGATTCGTTTTTGATTGAGCAACATCACTTTCAAATTTTTCCCAACGCGCGAATACCTGAATGATATGCATTAACATAATTAATTACAAGCTTGAGACAGCACAGCACCAAGTAAGCTAAAATTCGAGGAATAAGCGATATTCAGAATTATACAAAACAAAAGATTCTAAAAAATTAAAGCAAAAACCTGATAAAGGAAGAAATATCCAGCAGTTTCACATGTGTATGAGACGTCACCTCCAACACCGAGAGCTTCTTGCAACTTTTCAACCTACCATGACAAAGTAGTATCAAAACACATTCAGTTGAGAAATCATAATGTAAATAAAACTTAGTTAAGGAAAAATGGCTAAAATTTTGAAAATTTTCAAAAGCGCCACTTTCATTAAACTATTTTTTACTTTTTTTTTCACATAACCATTCGGTTAATTTGTTTATTTTAATAAAATTGAGATAATTTACCTCTTTCAAGAGATCAAGCCGTTTCTGCAAGACATAATTTACACGACCATATCTACTGAAGTCTTTTTCAGTTTCCAAAGCTTCTTCACCGTGACCTAAACTAGATATGAAAAAGATATCAAGCTATATCAATAAGGGGGTTTTAATAATGTGCGTAAAAAGATCATCTCAAAATTAATAATAAAAATAAATGAACTTGAATTTCATCTAAAAAAATGGGCACTCATAATTACGAAAGATGCTTTACTGGGAGAATAACTTTGTAGAATTACATAACAATTTGATAAAAAAATTGTCAATTAAAGCTAAGTAAATGACACTCATCAAAAATGATAAGAAATTATCAATTAAAATGCACCTAATCGAAGTAAATGACGCTCATCAACATCCAATTGAATAATTTTCTCGAAAAGCTGATTAAGAGCTTGATTAGAATGTGTCACAATTAGCGTCCGTTGTTCAGGCCAATTATGATAGATATTAGAGATGATCTGAACAGCCACATCTGTTTTACCTGTACCTGGAGGACCAACAACCATCGTTAAACCAGGCTGCATACCTGCTTTGATAGCTTCTACCTAAAAAAATTAACATCATTAATGAGTAAGGATAAAAAACTCAAGACACAGTAATAACTAGCACCACGAAGTCTAAGAAAACACCTGGGCTGGAGTAAACTGTATAATATTCTTGCGTGGTTCAACATGAGGATAAGGTCCACGACACGGTATTACATGTGGTTCCACAACAATCGACGTGTCCCGAACGGATGGTTCAATATCATGTTGTGGTTCCAATTCCTTGAAAGTCAATCTAAAAAACACGCATTTTCATAAAATCGTTTAAGAATAGAAATTTAACACTTATATCAGAAATGTGTTAGCTAATAAGTGAAATTAAATAGCAGGTTAGCTTCGATCTTTTTTTTTTTTCACTTCTTAAAATCATAATTTCTTTGAACTGTAGAAAGTAAACCTGAAAGGTGGAACAAGATTTTCATCAGTTGTTACTGTTCCTGTAATTTTCGTATTTGGAAATGACGAAATCAAGTGTTTATAAGACAAGAAAGTATCGCAAAAATCCACTGTAGGTACTGCAGTATTCATTCTGAAAGCATTTTGTAACTGAGTTTATATAGAACGTGTAACACTTTAAAATAATCAGGAAGTATTTACGACTTATAGAAAATCAGGAAGTATTTACGACTTATAGTGGGCAGCATTTGGTTCACCGTAACCAAGAATGAGATCATGTAACCAATCCGGCACTACAAATTCTGTATTCAGCAACTGCCGGATTGTTGCAAGCACCGCTTTGAAATTGTTGGTTTTTGGATCACGACGAATGAGTAAATTGAACGAATAATAAATATTCTGAAATAAATCTCGCAATCTACGGTAGTAACGCTTCTTTATCCTTCTTTTAATTAAAAGAAATCACTATCAGACTAGTTTTAACTTATAAAATTGCTTATTTTAGAAGGAAATTTAAAGCAAACATCTATCGCATCTTGTTGCCCTTCGGTATCCAAGCGATATTGATTTTCATCAAGCCATACTCGAAACTTTCTCGTAAGTCCTTCCAGTACCGTTTTTTTCTCATATGCAGCTAAATTCAACTGACATATCATTACCGAAATATCACAAAAAATGTCGGAGCATATGTTTTTCATCAAAATAACGTAAAGTTGCTTTGAGGCTTAAAATTGAATGCAGAGGTTGTAAATGAAAGCTGATTTTAGTTTGAAAGTATAATTTTGTTTGACAATATATAAATATTAACGAAAATCAATTGTAAACAAAACTAATACCATATTCTTCAATAACTTTTCCTTCGGAATCAAGCATGCCTTCAATTTCACATCCACGTACCAATGTAACATCAATTTGCTCTTTGAATGGTTTTGTAATGTTATATTTGGTACCAACTGAAGCTTTCGATCGACAACAGATCAAAAAACAAACATCATGCTTTCGAAGACCTAAAAACACTCTGTAGCGGATGTTTGTTTGGAAAGCAATTCTAAAAAAGAAACACCAAGAATACAATGAAGAACAATTACTGTTACTATTAAATACCAACATCTGAAAACATATGAATGCTCCTATTTCTCATAGCAAATCCTATGAGAAAGGTTTGCTGTGAGATATAGAAGTTTAAAAAATTATGGAATCTATATGAAAAGCCTTCCTTAACAACAAAGTAATCGAATACATCAAACTGAAACACAGGATTGACACATTTTTCACGCAATCCTACTTAGTTCATCTACTGATAAAATACCGAGTAGCACAGATCACCAGTCAACATTAGTTAGTAACGTAATAAGCTCAAGCATTAAAACATATGTAAACAAATCTACCTATATAAAAAATATTACGATCAACAACATATTCGGGCATTCAGTATGATATTCTTTGCGTTATTAACTGAACACCTCAGCATATAAATATAAAAATGTCAACCTTCCCATTCCGCACGAATATCTGCTCGTTTTGGTAAACTGATCGTTAAATCTGCCTTGACAACAGCTGGACTTTTTTCACCGATAAGAGGTTTACCAACCTCAATAATCTGAAATGATGAAATGGAAGCTAATGATGAAAGTAAATCAACAAGCATCGAAATGAAAAATTCGATTTCGAATATTATAATGTAATAAAGGAATTTTCAAAGAAAAAAAACCTGAAATTCGACTAATGGCAAAGCCATTCGTGCCCATCCACCCCAGACAGTTTCATTTGGATTAGATTCATGTGCCCATGGTTTCAAACGAAATATTGCATCCTCAATATCTTGACGAATTTCATCTGAAGCATATGGTATTTAAATTTTGTTCCAAAAAAGCATGCATGAATTTCATTTTCTACGTTTAATGAAATTACAGTTGAAACTGCTGACGAATTTCATTACAAAGGGGATAAAAAAATCAAGGTAGGTCCAAAAAGAAGTATTATGCATTGAAATGAACATTTGACGTAACATTTAACGCTTAACGTAACCAAAAACAGAATTAAGGTAATAACTTACATGTTGATTCCATTTGAAAAAGATTGAAATTGCGAAGCAAGTAATCGTGGAATGTCAAGAACTGAATATTTAATTTATTCAGTGCAAGCACACCTAAAAAGAGCAAAAAGAATGAATAATCGAGTAATTAACTTTAAAGAAAAAACAAAGAACATTCAGTGAGTATCGCTCTTCAATCTGGACTCTGAAAACTACAAATTACATTCAGATTTATTTCCGAATGGATCACTAAGAGATGGATTTTAAGCAATTTCAAGCAATAAAGACTTTTTCTCATCATATCCAAACACAAATTAGGAATAAATGAAAATTTTTGATCTCTAAATCCAATATTTCTGTAATCACAACAGTAAATTTGTACAGTTTAAAAAATAAAATCTACCTTCACCATTATACTGATCGTATGGAACGAGATTTTCATCCCAAATAACTTTTTCGGTTGGATAAAGCGGTTGTTCATTGAGTTGCTGTAACTGATTGATGCGTCGTTCACAACGTGATGTCTGAAATTTGCAAAAATTATCTGGAATTAGAAATCAGAAGCAAAATATACATTTATACTTAAATTTAACGAAGAATTTAGTCAAAAGATACTCATTTAAAATTAAAACCACATATTAACTAGAGCATCGAGTTTCAACTACTAATAGGCACATGGACTTGAATATAAGAATATCAGATTCCCAAACTGACGTGTATAAGAACGAAGTTATTGGTATTAAATTTCCGTCAATGAAAATTTTATTTGCCATTCAAAATAATTAAAAGGATCAAATGACTATATTGAAGAGACACTTACAATCATTTCAATAAGATAATTCTTTTCGTAACTTGGTGAAACATCTAAGTCTAATTCTTGTGGAGGTACCAAATGCAGATATTCTGCAAATTTATACAGTTCCGATTCACTGAAAAGGATACTGTTAATTGTTTGAGGAAAATTATATTTAACTGAAGATGAAAAATCATTCAAAATAAACATAATATTTTAATTCTTATGAATCTTAAACTAAGCCGTGTATATTTCAAATCTAATAATACAACAAAAAATATACCTCATCGATGAGAATTGTTTTACCAAAGCTTTCCTTGTGTCAACGGCAGTGACATTTAATAAATAAAAATCGGACATACTTTCCCTGAAATAAAGAAAGATTTATTCAGTAATTGCACTAATAAACTGAAGGATACAATACATTACAATGCACAATGAATTTATCGGTTCGATGCAATTTGTATAACTGTATAACGCATTCAGGAAGTTACTAAACTGTAGCGCTTTTTAAGTTGCTTAATAACTTGAGAATACACTCTGTTATGTTTCGGGACTACTCTTGTATTCAAGGACTAGAAGTTTTAGTTAAACCTGATTATCAAAGTATTTAAAAGAACCTGAAATATTTGAAGGCAGCTTTCTGCAGTTTGATAACATGGTTATAGTGCATTTCAGACATCTGAAATAATCATTTCAGTGTAAGGAAAAACAATATTAATAAGCAATTGGAACATTTAAATAGTTGGTAATAAATCTTTTCATAGCAAGAACGACTTACTTGGTTGTGCGTGAGTGGTTCACCAGTAACATCGTCGATCTCGAAACGTGAATAAAACTTGAGCATTGTGACAAGCTGACAAAACAAACTCCCAACTTCTGCTGTTATCAACGAAGATAGGGTACAATTTACCAATATGTTGCTTGCATGTAATATAGCATTAAAGAAACGCCTATAAGAAACGAACACGGTTAAAGATCAGATAAAAAATTTTTAAATCAAAACAGTGCTCTTTTCGAATAAGAGCAATTGATTTTAATAACTCGCTTATATGAAACTGGTTTTGATGGATAGAAAAGTTTCTCCGAAATAAGCATTTTGATATACAATAAGATTTTGTATTAAAAAAACAATCTAATATTTTCTTATGTTTCTCGGAATCGGCCTTCAAACTGTTCCGCTTAATATATAAAGCTGTCAAATTGTTGAAGCTGAAATTTAAGATTTGAGGTGAGGAAACCAAAACATTTTAAAGTCCTCTGAAATGTCAAAGGACACTAAAAAGTGACATACCTCGTGGTCAATAAAGCTTCTAAATCAATAAATAATTGCAAACAACGCTCTAGAAAATGTATGCCATCAATTCCAACTTCTGAAAAAATTGAAGAATTAAAGAAGACAGAGAAAAGAAGGAAAACTGAAAAGTGTTGTATGCTTTAAATACAATGAATTACCAACAAATCTTTTACGAAACAAACCCTTAAAAATAAATAAATTACGAAACAAACCGTTTGATTCATCATCAACATCTGCTAGTGTCTGTTTGAAAATTTGCAACAAATTCCACATAAATGTACGTTCAAAAGTTAACAATTCTTTTTCATCATCTGATTTTGAAGCTGCCATTGTTTCAAATTTGTTCCATATCTTCCGCAATTTTGGGTTTGCTTGGAAGAGATCTTCTCTCTGAATCTGAAAATTATATAGATTCTAAATTTTGAGACTAACTAAATCCATATTTAAACTCATTACTTTAAAGAATTAGTCTAAGATGTTAGTAACACTTCACAGACAGTTAGAAAACCAAAGTAAAAATTAAAAACCAACTGGAAGCAAATTGGACCACATTGTAAGTGAAACTATTTTCATCACCTCCTTTCTCACCAAATCCACTTCCTGCAATTCCAGCACATTTATATCTGTGTTCATTTAAAGTATCATTTGCAATTAGAAATGAAGCACTTATACGCCTTGTATCATATCTCAGCGACTTACAAAAATTCCACATTATTATGGAACTGATCAAACATTCCACCCAGTGTACCGTTAATGAAATTAATACGCACAGCTTACTGATAAAAGATAAGATAATTGGAGAAAAAAAAAACTTGCCACTGAATTGAAACAATTAATCAAGAATGTAATAATTTCGGACCGTTCCAATAATGTAACTTGTTCAGTGTTCAATACAAGATGCAATATTCGTCGAAAAAAAACCGGAAACTGACTCGAACGTTCACTGATGCACTGAAATATTACACCTCAAACATAAGATTATTACGTTAAGGAGACTGGTATCACTGTCATCTATCAACAACTGATAGTCAAAGGCTCAAAATAAAAAGAAAAAAAGAAAAAAAAAAGAACGAAAATATAACTCACACGCCAAACTGGAATCCTCTCTCGAAATTTTGCGTTAAGCATAATTATGACGGACATAACGTAATTGTTGTTGGCCTCTTCTACAATAAAATTTGGCCAGAGATAACGCTCGAGATATTGACTGAAAAGTAAGGTTTACGTCGACATCTTTTTTCTTTAATTCATTTTAAATGGCAAAATCAAAAAAAAAAAAGACGAAAAAAAAGAAGGCAAAAAACAGGGATTTGTGCCGGAAACACCAACGACAAAACCATGAGTTCTTCTTTAAAGACAAAGAAAAGTCGTACATTCTTAAAGAATACGTCTCAATTTTTAACTAAAAGGTAAAAAGAACCTGAATTCCAATACGACGACTTTCTTTTGCATGAAAAGGTTTTGTAATAATTCATTTTTGTAAACCGCATCTACTAAATTTGGATCAAATGGACGACTATGGAGCGAATATGGGGCCCAGTATTGTCGAGCTATCTAAAATTTAACAAAAAAAAAAAACATCAGATTACTGTGTGGAGAAATGTGTGGAAAAAACACCTACCGTAATAAGAGAAATCACTGGCTAAATTTTTGTTCGGTCTAGTTTATTGATTGTTCACAATATGCCAGAATTATTCGTTATAGACAAATAATCAGCCACAGCTTACTACTACCACAAATAATATTCCATGTAAAATTAACAAGCAAAACTAACAGAGAATTAGAATTAGGGAGAAAAGAAAGACTCTTTGTTCCTTAATTAAGAACAGAGAGACAATTATCTCATTAATGTAAAGAACAACTACAACTGATACATTCTATTACTAAGAATTAACTTAATCTTAATTAATCAAACTTGCCTCCATCAGGGGATCCACTTGGATAGCTTCTGTTGTCATAACACTTCCAACTGTCATTTTTTTTTTGCATGTGAAGTCAGTATATCATATGCCTATAAAATATTACTAATTTCAGGTGGCCTTTCGTCAACAATATTTGAAAAATTGCTTTGCACGTATCTTTGAGATTGTGAATATTTAATTTAGTAGAATTCAATCATCCATTCATCCTTTCCTCACTGACAAATTTCACAGCTCGATAATATTTTAAAATCTGCTTTGTACGTATCCCTATGGACAGCGACTGCGACATTAAACCCGAGAGAACTCAATGAATACCAGCTATCCAGGAAACCCGTTCATCTGCACCCCCCGATCGGAAGTTTTATGACTCTTTGCCCCTGCGTTTCTGACCGAGCAAATTAATATGACTGTACCCTCATCACACTACATGATAATTCTACATTTCGAAGATTTCTTTTTTTCTTCGACATTCACTACTCTCAATTACAGTTCGCACAGTCTTTCCATCCTATCTTAATCTATTTACTACTCCTATCTTTCTCATGTTTCTCATTCACTGTCCTCACACTATTTCTATAACTAAACAGTCTTCTGCTTCTCTCCGAAATTCACAGTAACGAACATGGCCGTATTCATGTGATCGGAATGCAACAATACATCCCAGTGATGCGGGAAATTTGATATGAACTGAGTTGTAGCAGCTGTTTTGAATATTATTATGCTTTGTTAGAGTAACATTTCTTGAAAAGATAATTTCACCTTTTTTGCAGTGTACTTTTGTTAGTCATTTAACAAACAATTCATTATTATTATGACTTCTATGAAGCATTTATTTTAATTTAATTTTCAAAAATTTTCGCACTACTCATAACATTCTCAAATGCATTAATAAGGTACCTTAAATCATACTTTTGTATAACTCTTAAATTGAAAGTTAAGAAATCTCAATACTGTGAAGATAAATTTGTTAATGCCAAATTTTTTTCAACAAATTCACTATTTTAGAGAAGAATATTTGGCGAAAATTATAAATTAAATGCTTGCTTCATATTTTGTCGAATTATAACAACTTTCACACTTGCTTAACTTTGATTTTGTCTTGTTTTTCGACTTTTGAAAATAATTTGAATTAATGGAAAGAGATTGTAGTAAATGAGGAACGTAAGATAGATTTTTTTTAAATTAATTGCATTTGATTTCTTTTCTTAAGCTCTGAAAACTTTATGAATTCGAGAACTCATATGCAGAATCGTCATTAAAATTTCACGTAAAGAAAGGAAAAAAAAATCACTCGATTAATTGGGAGAAAATGAATAAATTCGAACATGAACCAAATTTTCATTTCTACGTGCTAAAATTTAATTTTTAAATTTGAATTCTTTTTGATAATCTAATAATAGTCTTATTTTAACATAAAGTAAAAATACTTTAGCAATGTTATTGGATGTTTATAACAAATTATCTTGATGCATCATCATTACATCCACTAATATTTATACCTTATAAATCTTTAGCAACTGATACTTATAGTAATAAAAACAAGCAATCAATTAAATGAACAATCGTACTGCTTGAATATAAATACTTTTTGCATGAAAAAAATTGTGGGACAAATGGCTAAATAAAAAAGATTGAGTCTTACTTCATGTTTAAGTCTTACGTCAAAATCTTCAAATCATCAACGTTACGTGTGGAACATATGAATAAATTTACAATCCTTAGTGATATTTTCATTGCTGGAACTAAAATTTTGAGGAATTTTTTAAAATCTATAATAAATAATGTTAATAATAAATATATAATTTACTTATCACTCTTTATTTGGTGATTACTAAAGTAAATTGGTAGTGCCATTCTTTTATACCTATGCAATTAGATGTAAATGTTTTTTTGTATAATTTCAGGAAAGAAAAAGTGATAATAGGTTTAACTGAATTTCAATTATCTGTCTTTGATGAAATGTATGAATGGAAGTGTACAGTTAATTTTGAACGATAACAAACATAAGATTGCATTATTAGTTCAAAAAGAAAATAACGCTTGTTTGGAAATCTATTTGCACAATAGTTTGCGAATCTCTTTATTTGGTTAAGTTAAAAATTTCAGGAATTTTTTAATTTTTATTTCATAAATCTTTTTCAGTATTTTAGTATTATTGGCTGAATCTAAAATATTACAAGAATTTGTCCCATTTTTTGTTTATCCTTATTGAATTTTAATAATGGTCAAGAAATTGTCATCGATAATATCCTTTCGCTAGATGATTTATGTTCAGTTCTGTTGAAAAAATCAATCATATTAAATGCTTGTCAAATAATTCTCAAATAACTCAAATATGCTAGTGTAAATAAAATACAAAAGTTATTATCAAACTTATCAGAATCTGTTTTAAAATTTTATCAATAAATTTCTCTAAGTCATTTTAAATATTATCAATAACTATTGTTTGCTTATTTTGTATGGCTGCATTTCATACCTCTCTTTTGCATCCAAATCTTTTTCATTTATCATTTCATTAATCATCAAGCTAAAAAAGCTTAATTAACTTCACTCAAAACGTTAGTCTCGAAACAGACTATAATTTCGCTTTATGCAAATGATATGATTGCAATGATTAACATCTGCGCTTCAGCAAAAATTAAGCCTTTTATTTTCACAACCGCTGCTTTATTATCTCAATGTGATTATTAAAAATATTTGTATTTTTAAAGCGATTAGTCAGGAAGGGTAAAGTTGATAATAAATTGTGCATTTCTATTATTAAATCTATTATTAAATAATTTAAAAATAAAATTCCATTTATTTTTGAATATATTAAAAAGATAAAATGAAAATTATAATTTTCAAATTCCAACTAGAGATTAACTTTGTTGAGCAATTAATTTTTACCTAGCATTTTCTTTTTTTCCCCCTTTCTCTCTCTCTCTCTCTCTCTCTAAACAATTCCATTTTCCTGGAAATATATTTTACTTTTCTTTCTCTTTTAATTATTATTATTCAACTTAAAAAAAAATGATCATTTGTCTTGTTTCATTTCTTGTTTACACTTACTTACTTTGTTTTCGTTTCATTTCTTTTTTCTTTTTTTCAGGAAAAAAATCAAAATTCAAAATAAATTTGAAAATTTTTCAAATGCACTCTAAAACTATGCATTTTTTTAAAATTAAATCCTTTATCCTTTACAAAATTAAATCATTAAAATCATGAGCAATTGAAATAACTTTTTCTTATCTCTCTTTCATAGGCTATGAATAATAATATTTTTACTTATAAATTATTAAATGTTAAGAAAAAAAACTATCTCTTTGTTTAAATGTGTTTTAAAAAAAAAGAAAAAAAAAACTGCTACTTCGTTTTTTTAGTGAATTTTTTTCTTTTCTTTTTTTTTTTTTCAATGTTCAATTTCTTTCATCTTCTATTATTTTAAATTTTATTATATTCAATGAAAATTTCTGCATTCGTTCATTTACATTTCCCATAAACCATCAAATTTTATGATAATAAACCAATGCCATTAATTCCTTCTTCTCATCTCAAATAATATATTACCATTCATTACAATCATTACTGCTCATATATATATATATATACTTTACTATGGAATACACATTTATTATTTTATAAAATAACAAAGAATTAAAATGTTATCGTTCAAATTTCAAATGTAATCTATTTTCATTTTAAATGATTTTTGGAGAAATTCATTAAGAATATATTAAATTATATTATTAATTGTAAAATTAGATATAATTAAGCAGTTGCATCGTTAATTATATAATCTTTAAAAATTTTTCACAAGTTAATATCACTGATATTTCATCTTTTCGATTCATCGATTTAGTTCCTGTCAATACCATTCGTTGACGTACGTCTTCCACATCTTATCACCGAAATGATCAATAGCTTTTAAAAAAAAAGATTTCACTTTTTTTAAAAATCTCAACTGCAATATCTTATTTACCAATAAAATGGGCGCGAAATTATATTGCTAACATTTTGTGTTCTTAATTTTACACAAACTTTCAATTCATTCATTACTATTTTACCTATACATAGTATTATCTCTTCGATGTGTCATATTAAAAAATAATTAAAATGCCAGTATTAAAGCTATGATTATTTATCTAAATGAAATGCATTATTTATGAAAAATTCAAATCCTAATTTTACAGTAATAACGTGGACATTACATGCATAAATAAGATGGAATGTCCATCTATGTTTATCACCGTCTTATTATTCGGTATTGTTGCAATACAATGGTCTAAGGTAGCATCATTCTCGACAGGTATTTGCATCGATCGGATATCATCACTTATTACATTGGCTTGTAATGGATGTTTACGACTTGCTACATCATCAGAATATAGTGAGTACTAGACAGTAATTTTCTATTTGTTTTTGTTTAATTTTTAAAGATTCAAAAATTGTTCAATTATCATTGACTAATTAATTATTAATAGGTTAAAAACAGTGGTGTTATTTAAAAATTAATTCTACTAACTATGCTGACAATTTTTTCAAAAATTTTGAAATAATTATGTAAATATTTTTCTATAATTTACTTTCTTCTTTGTTATTTTTCAAATTTTAAAAATTAATTTCTATTTATTTATATTCTAGAATTCAAATTATTTCAAGATCCATTACTTAAACTGTTTTGTTTTTTTTATTCCATTGGACTGTTTCTTGAATGATATTCTGTTATGATACAACATTTAGTGCAATTCCTTACTTTTGATTTGAACTTTACTTAAGTTATTGCAAAGTTATATTCTTTCTTCTCGTGAATTATAATTTTTTTTAATTGTATAACTTAAAATTTTCAAGTTTAGGAAATGGAATACATATGGATGAAAAGAAACTATTACAGAATATAGCAGAGGAATGTTGCTATAAGAGATGTTCTATGCCATACCTTCGATCATTATGTTGCAATACCTGAATTCATTAATTTTTTTTCTCCCTCTCTCTTTCTCTCTCTCTGCCCATCCCTTCCTTTTTCTCATTGTTTTTCTGCTTCAGTTTCAATTCTTAATTTTTCTTTCTCTGTT